GAGAGAGAGAGAGAGAGAGAGAGAGCCCTACAAGTGGGAGCCTGGGGGTCTGCTCTACAAATCAAATTCATAGGCAAGCTGAGGCCGCTGATCCTCAAAGGAAACCACAGTCATCTACTGCTGCTGCCGGCCTGGCCAGAGCTGGTTAGTCCAGGTCTCCATGGACTGAGGGGAGGGGCTGGGAACAGAAGCCTTACAAAGGGAGGGTAGGGAGAAGTCAGTGAGGACAGGGCAGGCAGGTGAGGCTTTGATGGCCCAAGGCGAAAGGAAAAGTGGTCAGGTGTGGCTGAGACTCTGCTTGGCTCTGGCCAGGACCCCTAACTGTGAAGACTGGGAATTCCCACCCCTACCCCTTACCCAGCTGGGGTGGTGACCATGCCCAGTTAGCAGTCAGAACGAAGAGGAAGAGCAAAATATTCTACCCTAAATCTATTTCTTTGGTGGATTTCCAATTGGTTGTTGGAGAAAGTGCAGCCCTTTGCAGATCTGGGCAGATGCAGAGTAGCTCTGAAAACTGTCCTTTTGTGAAAGAAACTGACATCCATTTGCATCAGTGGAGAAAGCAAGGGAAGTGCCCAGAGGCCGTGTCTCTCAGGTCCCCAGCTATGGAGGAAAGATCTGGGACTAGAGCACAGGGACTGACCACAGAAGCACAGCTGGCCCTGGGTGGTCTGCCCAGAGCTATCAGTTGGGTGGGCCATGCTCTCTGTAGATGCCAACCTTGTCCTGTGCATTCCCATCAGTTCCATGACTCTGCGGCCACCTTCCCAGCAGCCCCAAGTCCCTATTCTTCCTGTAGCTTGTTATCCAAGGCAAGCTACAGCTATCTGGCCTCTTCTTCAAGTCTTAGACGTTTTATGTGGTTCCTGTATCCTGCAATGTACTTTGTTTTTCCTGTTAATCTACTTTGTGTCTCTTCATTTCACTAACTACAATGATCAAACCCTTCAGAGGCGGGGTGTGTGTGTGTGTGTGTATATGTGTGTGTGTCAAACTTCCCTATATTAATGATGGTTCTCTCGCTCCCCTCTACTGACATCCCCTAGCACACAGCTAGTGCTCCACAGTCCCGCCACCCACCCAACACTCCAGCCCTCAGAGCCAAACCCTCAGAAGCATCAGGATGGAATAGGGAGGCTGGAAACGAGGGCAGGCTGAGAGGAAAACCTAGGCTGTCCCTGCTTGGGGACAAAAGCCTCCAGCACCAGCTCTGCCAAAGCTGTCCTCCCTAGAGGGTCACTGCAGGCTATGAGCTCATGCAACTAGAGACCTTGGGGGTCTAAGGACAGGGAACAGCAGTGAAGGTGGGTGAGCGGCCAGCCTTCCTGAGGGGACAACCCCCACCCAAACTGAATGTACCCCCCCTCCCCCAGGTCATACTAGAGACCAGAGAAATACTGCTACCCACTACAGAGCAGATACTGACAGCCAGACTTCTAGGGGGTGGGTTACCATTTTAGAGAGTGGGAAACTTGCATACTGTTTCCAAGGCAACAAGCTCTCTGAGCAAAATGCCTCACTGCACACTCATGTTAGGCACATGAGCCAGACGTCTGGGGACCTGAGAGGGGCCTGGGCCTCAGCCTGTAGGCTTCATTGGTGTGCTCAATGGTGCTTGTGAGATAATTAACAAAGCCAGGGGCAGAATGGACAGGAAACCAAAGCACAACCTGGCAGACCAGAGAGCAGGGGAGGCTAGTGTTCCAGCTACTGCCCCTCAGTAACAATGTCAAAATACAGTAAGTGGACTGAATTACAACTGCAGGTTACTTGGGGGAGGCAGGGAAGAGCAGAGGTGCAGGCTCTGCTGGCCTAGGCTAAGTCTGGAGTGATCCTATCCCATTCCTTAGCATCGTTTCTTTCCTAGGCTGCAGCCTGCAGACCACAGAGGCAAAGATGCTGATGAGTTTGTGTGAGACAGCTCCACAAACAGAGGCCTTGATGGGGGTGGGAGGTGGGCAAATGCTTTAAGTCCCTAAGCAACAGAGCACAGAAGTCAAGAAGCCTAGATATCACCTGTGTACAAGACACACACCCACAAGGCAGGGATTCATGGTTAGTGGCCTCCCACTCCCATCCCTTCCGAGCCTGAGGCCTCCCCTGCAGGCTGCATCTATGCAGATCACTCTGTGCTTGGCTGGGCAATCAGAATTTTCTCTTGTCCTCTGGTTTCTCTAGCCAACAGAAGCTCAGGAAAGATATGAAGTGAAGGGAAGCCAAACTGAAGGCTGGAGGAGCACTCACTCAAACAGAGAGGACTGGACTCACAGGATGGAGCAGGGAAGCCTGGCTGTGTGGCTGAGATTTTAACCATGAAAATTTTTTTCTTGGGAAAGAAACTCCTCCTCCCTGGCAGTTTGGTGACAGCCTTGAATAGTGCAAGGCCAGAGGAGAACAGAAAGGGGAGAGAACCAGGAAGGGAAGGCAGAAAAGAGCGGGCAAAGACCATCGCTGCAAATTCCTACTGTGCCGCCATAGGAAGGACTTGGGGCTGGGCTGCCTCTTTGAAGGTCATTCTGGCCCAGTCTTCCCAGACAGCAGGCGCCAGGGACCCTGGGCTGCACGTCCAAGCTAGGCAGACCTACCCTTGGAGCTGGCAAGGGCAGATCCTCCCCTTATTGCTCCTGATAATGGACACAAAACACACACACACACACACACACACACACACACACACACACACACGTGTGGGGGGGGCAGGTGAAATCTGATCCCAGGTATGTGGGCTGAGGGAGAGTGGTACTCAGGGGTCATTAATCAACGACAAATGCTAAGCAGAAAATTACAGAGCTGAGAAGATGACTGAATTTAATGTTTTCTTCCCCCTTGCAGTCTCCAGCCCTAGATCCTGTCCATAGCTCTGTGTGTGTGTGTGTGTTGCAAGTGTGCACACATATGCATGCACAGACAGACTGTGGGAGAGGGATGAGACTGGGTCTCCAAAGAGGCAGGTACAGGTTGCTGGGGAGGGGCAGGGGCTTGTATGCTCCCTTCAGGGACCCGCTTCCCACCAGCAGCCAGGCTGCAGGTCCCTTATCTCAGTCTAAACACCTCCTGGAGATACTGGGCAGCTGGAGGCCCAGCTGGCCCCTTGGCCCCGCCCCTTCCCCAGCCCACGGAGGCACTTCCTTCCAGCCCCAGGTCTGGGGACAAAAATCCTCCTTGTTTGAGTGTTTTCTCAGAAACAGGGGCAGGCCGGGTAGGGAGGGTGCCCTACTGAAGCATTCCCTCACCCCCACACAGGGTCTGGACACAACTTGAAAAGAGCCTGAAGACTCCAGTTCCCTCATTTGTTCAAATGGTCCTTCCAGGGATCACCTAGTGACACTTTGGTTTTGAGCTCAGTAAGGGGGGCTCTGGAGGAGACCCTGCCTTGATGAACCAGTTCCTGGGGCCTCAGAATCTGCCCACCTACCCATCCCTCTAGTCTCCTGGCTCATCTCAGTACCTCAACAATGGCTCACATTCTGTTTTGAAGTACAGCTGTGCCACGGGGCCTCTGGCAAGGGGAAACTGCCTGCTGGCCTGGTGGGGCAAGAAGAGGCTTGCATGAGTGAACTATCTTCTAAGGCCCTAGCTGCAGTTCAGATGGGTAGAGCCAACACACAATACCAAAGGCCCCTTTACAACAGCTCAGCTTGTGAGCAAGCTGTGTGAGTTCACCAGTGAACAGTTCGGTCCTGAAGTTTAGGGATTTAAATTCCTCCCCCTGGTTGCCGAGCCACCCTAAGCTCCCCACTGCCCAATAGAGATAGAAGAGGTAACTGGGTAGGCTCTGGGCCATTACTAACAGTGCACAGGGCAGGGCAAGGTTGATATTTCCATTTCATGCTGGGTGAGGGCAGGATGGGCTGCTTGGCTTCACAGTCGGGTAAAAGCAGGAGACTGGATGTCTGTTGTTGCTCTGGCTGTGTTGGTGGGAGAGATTAAAACAGGCCACCCCCAAACATGCTGCTTTAGCCTACTTGAAAATGGCTATTGAGAGGGGCTGAATACATAAAGTAGTCTTCCTGGGGGAGATTTGCACCCATAGAGAAAATTATGTGGACAGCCACTGCAGGGCTACAGATAGGCAAAGGCCCCCTTTTCATGGAAAGAGGAGGGTCTGGCACCTGGCCCACAGTGACAGCCATAGGTGGTCTTTGCAGGGCTGTTACCAGGGAGGTTTTACTTGCATAATAAGACCTCTTTTGTTCCCGGGGCACCTTTCTTCCCCTCACCCTTGCTTGCCTCAGCCTCAAGCCTGTTCCTCCATACTATGTAAATTTCTCCTTTGAGGTTCTTACTTTCTGTATACTTATACATGCTAATAAACACACATGTGTTTTCTGTTAATCTGCATACTGTTTATTGTACAGACATTTTCTGAGGTCAGTGAGAAAATCTGAAACTTCCTCACACTGGATACTGTACAAAACCCATCAGCAGGCTGGCTGAGCATGTGTCCTGTGCGGAATCTGCCTGGCCTTTCTTCTCATGGAGATGGAATTCTATTCTCTCACTGCGGATCTTAGTTCTCCCTCTTCTTCAGATCTGTGGTTCTAAGTAGACGGGTCCCAGTTCCAGGTCTTATCTGGGCACCTGGGAGTAGAGTCTGCCCTCTTACCCCTTCCTGGGGCCCCACCCCCAGGCTGACAGAAGAGGACTTGTCACTGAGGCTTAAAAGCTCCCAGCAAACTTTGAAAGCCACAGCCCAAAGTAGGGGGTGCGATTTTCCATCTAGGTTTTAGATGAAGATGAGGCTGCTCATGGGGATGCCCAGGACCCTTCAGCCTAGGCCTGGGTGGTCACTGAATTCTTGTCAGTCTTCAAACTACTGCAAGCTTGTGGTAGCTACCACCCAAGGGCAGAGGAGCTGCCCAGGTCCCTCGAATTCCTCAACCAGGGCTCTACTCAGACTGACCCACTTCTTCATGGCCCTTTCTTCTAGATCATTCTCCACAGTCCTTAATACTCCTGCCTTCCCTGGGAAAACTGAATTAGAAAAATAAAAAATAAAAAGGACAAACTTGGTTCGGGGAGGAGGGAAGTGGGTGGGCTTTCTTAGATCTGCCTAGATGGGGAGGCGGGGCTTGGTGCGCCCCAAGACCGCTGGGGGGCGTGTGACAGTGGCTGCGAGGACACCCTTTCAAGAAGCAAAATGAAGCCCAGCTGGGTCGGCTTCCCCTTCCCTCTTCTCCCCTCCCTGCTTGCCACCGGTCTTCCCCAGACACACTCCACGCAGCACAGTTTTCCGCGGCGGAAATGACTTCCGTCCGATAGGCCAGGGGAAGGCGGGGCACACAGGCCGGTCCGCACAAAGCCAGCGCAGAGACTCAGGATGCACTGGAGCAGTGGGGAGCCTTCGGTGGTGGAGAATGACAGCGCGGACGGAGAAGGGAGCAGGGAGGCCGGACCCGAAGTGGGGTGAGGTGCCTGGCCTCGGACCCGGGACCCCCAGCCGGGAGGGGGCTGGTTTACTTTCATGAACCTCCAATTCCAGCACCATCCTCCACCGTCACAGCACCCCAGTCTGGGACAAAATCAAGGCCACCTCCCTTTTCATTGCTAACCATACTCCCCACCCCAGTTCCCCAACCAATCAGGTCCCACTACCCCACTTTGGGGAAACTACGTTCAACCCTCTTCCCATCCCCCCGCCGGGGACTGGCTCCGTGGCCCCAATCCCTTGATTGGAACCAGACGCAAACCCTCACCAACATTCCAGGAACTTTCAAGGACCAGCCACCTCTCCTTATTTTGGAAATGGACATCTCGGAGGCCCTCGCGTTTGGAGGAGACTGTGCGCGGCCCCCTCGGAAGGATCAGCTCTGCTTCCGACTGCCGCTTCAGGGCAGGACCCGAGCCCCTTTCCCAGCTGCGGATGGACCAGCCGGTTCCAGTTCTCACCCCAACTCCGCTCATGGCTCCGGGGTCCCCCAAGGTCCTCGGGGATACAGGCGCGCCTCGGTCCCTCGCCTCCCCACCCGAGCCCCAGAGCCTCTCACCCTCGCCGGCGTCAGCAGGATCTCGGCGGCCGGAGCAGATACCGGGGCAGACGCCGACGCCTTGTCTGCCTTTTCGGTCTTGATGCCGGCCACCGCGGGCTGGAAACTGATCTTCACCATGGCTGCGCCTGCCCGCCCCTCCGCCCGGCAGCCTCAGTCCGTGCAGCCTCAGCTGGTGCAGCCTGTGCAGTCAGTTCCAAGGCTGCTTGCTGAGCTGCAGGCACCGGAAGTTTGGATCGCGTTGGGGTTTCTGCCTCTAGCCCCGCCCCGCCCTGCCCCGCCCTCCGCGCGCGGACCCTGGCGCCTGCGCCCAGTTGCATCCCGGCCACGCAGCGCCGGGGCCACTTCCATCCCTCTTCTCGCTCACATTCGTTCTGGCAGTCACCGCTCAAGAGCTCGGTCCTCTTCCCGCTTCCTGTCCACGACCAGCATGCATTTTGTTAACGGCATTACCTGGCAACCCAGCTTCTAACCAACTCCCTGTCTCCCTGTCCCCTTCCCCTGCCGCTCCCCTTTGGAGATGTTGAGCCTTGGCGGTACCTGCTCCTATGCGTCCTCCATCCCCCTCCGACCTGTGCTTGGCTGGAAAGAGGCCCTAAGGCCAGGCGCCTAACTGCTTGCCTCCATCCTGAATTCTGAATCCATCCCCACTTGCTTCATTTTCCACCAAGCCTCTTCCTCTAGTCTTCATTCTGCAACACCTCCCCAGGCTTTGAGATGCACGCTGTCGCTGCTGGCAGAGGGGAAGAGGAGTCAGCTTTGCCTTCTGTCTTCCTGAGCTGGCTGTGGCCTGAGGCTGAGTGACTAGCCACCTTCTGCCCATTTTTCACCCATTTGGGAGGATGATGGGAAGAATTTCAGGGGCTGGTCAGAGGTTTCGGTTCCAGTCAGACTCTGGTCCTGCAAAGTATCACGGGTATTGGGGAAGAGCCAAGACTGCTTTTGCAGGGCCATCTCTTGGCATCAAAGCTCCAGATCTTTCCTCAGTGTCCCTAGCCCAGGCTGTGGACAGCACCCAGCAGCCCATACTTGGTGTTGGTTCTGCTGTGGTATTGGTGATGGAAGACAGGGCAGTCTGCCAGCTTATTGAGGACAATCCAGAGTCCTTCCACTAACCGCCTGCCCATCAGTGCTTGGGCATCTGCCTTGGGTCTTTGGTGCTCAAGTGTTAGACCTGGATATCTTGGTTCAGATCTTGTATGGACCTAACAGCCTAGGGGATAAACAGCTCAGGGAGAATGAAACTGATGCTAAGGCCACCAGGAGGAATTGGGAGAGTGAATGGAGAGTTGGAAAGAGATGGGTTGGACCAGAGCAAGAGAAGAAGGTGGTGTGGACTACTTAAAAACTCAAGCGACCGTGTGGATCTTGGTGTTCTAAAGAGCCAGGCTCCCAGACTTTGCTTAGCATGTCAGCAGCATCCCTCCACACTCGCTGTTCTACTCAATAAGTGCTTTCCAGTTCCCCAGTGTGCCGAGCATTCAGTTAAGCTCTGCTGCTGAAGATGCAACTCAGCAGCCAAGGGTCTGATCATGTTGACCCTTCTGTCTGCTGAATTCTTTCATGCATTTAAATCGTTAGATTTCTGTCGCAGCCCCTATGCATGGCCTACGCATGAACTTCATGTGGAACCAGTGTGACCAAACCTGGGGTCACTGAGCTAGTCTATGTCTGGCAAGTCAGGACCTCTGATTGAAAGATCAGAGAGCCTGGAGTCGGCAGGCAGGCCTCCTTTCCTCTAGGAGGCCTTCCCTTACTGGCCTGGGGTGAGTTCCCTTGCCTGTGCACCCTCAACACTGTGCAACACCGAGCTCCATGAAGCTCCTGGCAGTCGAGGGCCAGACACAAATCCTAGTACAGAGATTTCTAATCTTGTCAGTCTCAGGACAACAGAGAGCTTTTGTTTACGTGAGATAAACCTGTTCACATTTGCTATTAGGAATTAAAACCCAGAAAAATTTAAAGCACAGGAATATACATGTTCGGCTTACCTTCAAAGCAATGCTATCATACCTGTAGCCTCTGGAAAATCCCACTGAGTGCCAAGGATAGAATGAGACTAAAGTAACACCTTCGTATTGTTGCATTACTGGTTTGGATCTTGAAGAACACTTGATTAGGTCTTAGGATCACTAGGATCTTTGGATTACATTTTCAGAACTGCTGTTCTGATAAATGTTCAAGAATGTATCATCTGGGGCTAGAGAGATGGCTCAGTGGCTAAGAGCACTGGCCATTCTTGCAGAGGACCCAGGTTCCATTTCCAGCACCCACAGGGCAGCTAACAATGGTCCTTACCTCCAGTTTCAGATCAGACACCCTCTTCTGGGCACTGCATGCACACGGTACACTTATATACATGCAGGCAAACAAACAAACAAACAAAACCCTCACATACATAAAATAAAAATAAAAATGAAAAATAATCCATTTTCCATGAATTTTAGTGTACATCTCTGCATATTTTAACATATCTGAAATGATCTCTTTGGGAACTATAACTAACAGTGATCTTCTTAATGTCTCTAAAATGGTGATGTGTCTCATATGTGATAGATAACACAGAGACTTGATAGAATGCAGTATAATGAGACAATTATCCAAGGAGACCCTAGGAAGCAGTTTGAATTCACTATCACACACTGAGCTTTGTGGGCTCTGGAAAGGAGGGTGTTTTGAGGGAGTAGAGGTCATGGTGTAGCTGAGGTGCCTTGAAGACAGAAACGTTTGACTGGGAACCATAGAGATAGATAGGGTAGAGCTAGGGAATAGGGAAATGTGAGAGCACACTGGGTAGGAAGGAGTGAGACTGAGCCAAGAGTGCATGACCCGGGATGGTAGCTGCTCTCTTGTCAGTCTGCAACTTCTCTTTGTCCTTGTATCCTTTCAGCTCAGCACTAGCAGTGCTTCTCATGTCTAGGGCTCTGTCTCTAGGGAAGTTGAGTTATGCTGGAGGAAAAGGATGCCATCCTGTTCACTATGATTTGAATAAAGTCCATGTATTGAAGCTGGGTCCTTAGGGTGGTAGTAACTGAGAGAAGTAAACTTTAGGATGTGGGGTACTCTGGTGGGGTGGTGTGTGCCTTGTAAACCTCTCAATTGGGAAGTGAAGACAAGAAGGTCATGAGTTCAAAGCCAGCCTGGGCTGGCAGTGATAGAGAAAATCAATAATGGATCTGTCTGGAAAAATTTAAAGAGGCGGGGCCTTGTAGGAGGTGATTTGGGGGCCCAGTCCCTTCTTTCATCTCCCTTTCTGCTTCCTGACTCACAAAGTAAGTGGCTTTGCTCTCCCATGTTCTTCCACCATGATGCCATTATCTGCTGGCTCACCATAGATCAAAACGATGGGATTATGGGTTGAAGAATGGAGCCTCCACATTGGGAGCCTAAAAAGCCTTTTCTATTAACAAGTTAATTACTTCAGGTGTTTCATTACAGTAATGTAAAGATGACTCATACAATGTCCTTTGGAGCAACTATGTTCCTTGTCTTCAGGGTTTCCAGTATAGTCAGGCAACCCTTTGGAAGTATGTGGGAGGGGTGCCTGTCTCCACCTCTCATCTCCACCTTCCACCTTTGAGTAACCCCTCCTTTTCTTTAAGGAGCTAGCTGGGAATTTGCTATTGGAGGTAGGGAATTTTTAAAACGTAATTTAAATGTAAAACAATTTGGACAATGACTTACAATCTAATATTCCAGTCAAATATAGAACATTTCCACAGCTCCCCCAAATCACCTTTAACTCTTCCTGTAAGTCTCCACCACTTCTCTACTAAAAACCCCTGTTCTGATTCCCAGGTTATGCATTAATTTTTGTTTCTTCTTGAACTTCATATAAACAAAACTATGTACTCTTTTGAATGCAGCTTCCTTTAGCCAATATGATGTTTACGTGATTCATCCACAGTTTGTTCTTTCTTCTTATTGAATAATATTCCATTTTGTTAAAATATTATTGAAATGACAAAACTCACTCCATTTTGCTCTAGCTGACTTATGCTTTCCCTGTGTTTTTGCCCAGCCATTCCCACTGCAGCCAGCCAGGCAGAACATATCATGCAGGCAGTTTCAGAAAGTGCATTGTCTCTACACTACTGGGAAACTTAAAAGTAGCCAGGTAGCATGTTCAGATAGCATGTCCTCCTTCCCTTTTCTACCTGCATCTCCATGGAGCCCATTCTCTCTACAATTCTAGGAAATTTGTTTTTTCCTTACTGAAACTTTTTAACTGAAAACCTCTTTGTTAACTGACCTGCCCTTGGTCTGGTGTAACTATGTTCATTTGATGTAACTACGGTTATTGACTTTGCCGCTGGTATGATACAATTGTGGTTTTAAGCTTTATAAACCCTGCCTTACTTCTCCTTGGGGTTAAGAGTTCTGTGGCATGAGCCCCCTCTCTAACTGTCAGCTTGCTTGCTTGCTAGCTAATAAAGGACTCCTAATTCGACCATCACTATGTGCTGTTCCTCTGTGCAATCTCGCTCAGTATTACAATTATAATTCCTCAGTTAAGGTTCCTTCAAAAAAAAAAACTAACAAGCACAGTAATTATACCATTTTATGCTCACACCTGTGATATGAGAGAGTTCTAGTTGCTCCACAACCTTATCATCAATATTTGCTATTTTCAGTAATTTTAGTTTTTTAGTTTTGATCAATTTAGCTGATATCCTAAGCTGTGTCTTATTGTGGTTTTAATTTGCATTTTCTTGATGATTAATGATACTGAGCATCTTTTTATGTGGTTGGCTGTATGAGGGGGGGGGAGAGAGAGAGAGAGAGAGAGAGAGAGAGAGAGAGAGAGAGAGAGAGAGAGAGAGAGAGAAGAGGGCTTTTAATTCCCCTGGAGCTGGAGTTACAGGCAGTTGTGAGTCATCCACCCTGGGTCCAGGGAATGGAACTTGAGTTCTCTGGAAAAGTAATTAGCAGCTTTAACTGATGCACCGTCTTTCTAACCTAGTAGACCTTCTTTAGGGAAGTAGTCTTTCAAATCTTTTACTCATTTTAAAAATTAGTCTTGTTGCTGGAGGGATGGTTCAATAGTTAAGAGCACTGGCTGCTCTTGCAGAAGACCTGGGTTTGGTTCCCAGCACCCACATGACAACTAACAAATGTCTGTAACTCCAGTTCCAGGGGATTCGATTCCCTCTTCTGGCCTCTATGGATATTGTGTGCATGGGCACACTAACATACATGCAGGCAAAGCACTCATACACATAAAATTAAAAAGTAAATTTTTA